TTTGCTGGGTTGGGGGGTTCCGGTTAGGGCTCAAGACTTCGAAGCACAATCTTCCCGAGCTCCAGACAGTTATCTACACTATATAAAGCCAAACAACCCTATCTAATATGAACCCCAAAAACTCGAACCTTAAAATAAAGCCGAATCTCGCAGGAGTGCCACGTACAAATACCCTAAACCCCTGAAGCCTAACGAACCCTAAGCCCTATATACAGTATTTTTTTAGTAAAGCCCCTAAACTAAAGCCGAATCTCGCAGGAATGCCAAGAAGTACATGGATAAGGTGGACCACAAGCGCCCGGCACCCTCGAAGCCTACCAATGCTGGCCCGAAGAAAAAAGCCAGGAAGTAGGCTGATTTTCCACTTTGATGGGTTTGCGACAGTGCGGGTGATCCTGCGCTGCTGCTTTGGGAGTGATGATGTTCAGTGTGCAGAACGAGCATGACAAGAGGTTAGACCCGGCTGCGGCGATGCGGCCACGCCTCTTCCGATGTAAGCTGTCCAACCTCTGCCTTAGCACAAAATGAACCCTGCTCGCACTCGGCCTCAACTGCCTAAACTAAACCTCCCTGTTCAACCCCCATTCCAGCCTGCGTGTAAACAAGTTCAGCTGTTCAGACTGATGTCAGTGCCGGACTGCACACGAACTCCGAAGTTAATTCGAGTTTNNTAGCCGTGCTGCGCTTCTGACAGGGGAAATGCTATCTGCCAGCCATTATGTTGCTTCACGCCACATTTACAGCGTATATGCATGGGAGTTGCGACACAAATTCTTGGGCCAGGTCCTAAAGCTGGGTTCGCTGCCCGTGGCTTCGCTGCAGAGATTGGCGAAGGTGTCCCGACCTTGGGATCCGCGTTATATCGAGGTCTTGAGAAGCATGAAGATATCTGCCGAAGGTTTTTCGGCCCCAGTTTATTTTTAGTTGTGACCACGAGGGTTAATCCGATGGGGGGCCTGTCGGTGCTGGGCCATGAGCTTTGAATCTGTGGATGATGAGCTGCTGGAGCTACTGACTTGCCATCGATCCGTTCCCGGCATATCATACACTCAGGTCTGAAACTGCTTGTTGATGCGCTGTACTTGTTTGTTTTTGCTTTGACGATGCTTAAGCAGCATGTGTGCAGCTGAGGCTTCTGAGGGGCCGTTTCCCTGGAAGAAACCTCTTGATAGTCTTACCGGAGGCACAGGGGCACCCTTGACTTCCTCCTCGCGACCCCAGCTTGCTGAAGATCCCGGAGCCGCAAAAGAACAGATTACACATCATTGCTTAGTTGACAATCCCCGGGTCATGGAAAACACTGAGCGTCTGATGTATGAGATCCGTGCTGAAAAGCTCCCGCTCGTCTTCCGCCTTCCACGCAGAGGTCTTGTGGCGGGTGCTGTCTTACAGCATTCAATCCGTGTTGTGGAGGAATACTTTAAAAAGCTGGAGCCTTTGGTCTTCAAGTTCGGGTGGACCCATAACCCGATATGGCGTTGGACGAATTCTCTGTACGGCTACTGCCAGGACAAAGATATTTGGTCCGAGATGATCATTGTCTATGCGTCCCACGAGGCCTTTGGACCTGCAATGCTCGAAGCAGCATTAATCAATCAGTACCAAAGCAACTCGCAGACAATTAGATTGTAGATACAAAACCCTATATAAACCCTAAACTGCCCTAAACCCTAAACCCAGAGCATTGCATATAACAGAGCGAGCGAGAGCGAGAGAGAGAGAGAGAGAGAGAGAGAGAGAGACAAGGTTCAGTTGTCGACAACAAGGACGAGGCCAAAGAGACAGCAGACCAACGGGGAGACACAGCAAGCGAGAGACAAATAGACAGGGTGAGGCATGGAGAGAGAGAGAGAGAGAGAGAGAGAGAGAATGAAAGAAAGAGTGGGAAGTATAGAGACAATGGAAGTCTTTATACGAGAATTCCAAGCCAAGGCCGACCTGGCTGCCGCAATGTTCGCCAAGGAGGCGATACGGTCACGGAAAGCGCGACCTCAGACGATGTGTTCATGACTTATCTCGTGTACAGATCATTCAAGCATCCGCCCACTGGAAACACAAGAAGCTTCAAGAGAAAGCATTGTGCATAAAAGGTTTCACTGCCGCTATCTGGTGTAGGGGTCGTTCCTGATGCGAGAAAGAAATGAACCTATCTGCTTGCACTCTTCTGCTTGCGTGACTCTGCCAATCGATCAGCATGCCCTTGTCACTATATACATGCAGAGAATAACTTGTTTGAGTGTGCCGAGGCCTCTTGCTCCTCGACTATTCGTGCAGCTCGGAATGTGGTGCGGGACATCGGCGAGGGAGCGGCCCGTGCTAGTGGTGGTTTGCTAGAACTTTCACAATGCAGAGAGGAGGACGCTGAGAGGGGCACTCACCGTGTGTTGGTGAAGCGGTATCGTCTCAGTCTAGAAAACTACATACCCCTCACGTACCTCAATCTGAATAGCAAACGACACACCATCTTGCGACTGCGGGACTGGATGCAGTTTCTTATCGATGCTCATTCCTGGCACATCGTGACTGGGCTCATTGCCAGAGACGAACCCCGAGAAGAAGCCATACTCAATGCATTCTGGTCGAGGTATAAAGCCTCCCACCCGAACCACCCTGTATTCGACTTGGAGGCGAGAGGTGTATGTTTGCACCGTTGCGCGCCGTTGATTTATCACGGCGACGAAGGCCGGGGTCGTCGCCGAACTGCATTTTTGGTCACCAGTTATTCGTCCATCCTGGGACGTGGATCCGCCCCGGCGGACAAGGCTCGCAAAAAACACGGAATCCGGAAAGACTATCTCAAGCTTCGAACAAACTTTCGAGGCCACAGTTTCACGAACCGCTTCCTCCAGGCAACCCAGAAGCGAATCTAGAAAAGGTTGAGTTGGCTGCTTGTGCAAGTTTGTTTAGTAAAACGGGCTATGTATAAATGACGGTTTCTAAAGCTTTTTTAATCAGTTTGTCCAGAACCCTAAAGCTGACAGAAAAGATATATAGAAATCCAATCTTAAACCCGATATGCCCAGAAACCATAAAGCCGATACAAACATGTATGTAAAACCTCATATATGAACTAAGGCCGGCTGGCCAAAAAAAGTCTACGACAGCGACGATGGAGCTTTCGAGTTGCTTCTTCAGAATTGCAAGGAAGAGAACGACTTCCTGATGAATGAGGGTCTCTGGGACCGGACACGGAGCAAAAAGTTTCATGCCATCATTTTGGCAATCACAGGAGATTGGCCTTTTCTTACGAAATCCGGATGCTTGTGCCGCAATTTTAACCACGCTGTGAAGAAAGTCGCGAAGAAGAAGAAAAACGGTGAACCGGCGGACCCCGAAGGGATCTGCCACCTTTGTTTGGCAGGACGAAGAGATCACAGTTTCGAGCAGCTTGATACAGCAAGCCCTTCGTGGCTTTCCACATTTTTGCAGGAGGATCCGTTTGAGTACCTTTCGCCATTGGCGACACTTCCTCACGAACCCGGGGCAGCTGCATCGCTGTTCAAATATGATGTTTGGCATACGTGCCACCTTGGCGTATGTAAGCCGCTCATCGGCGCAGCGCTTGCGCTGCTGAGCGAGACTTACCCTGGACGCTCCAAAGACGCTCGGTTTCAGCTTCTTTCAGACGATTTCTTGGCTTGGTGCAAACAGAACCGGCGACAAGCTTTGTTGCACAAAGTCACAAAGGACACAATCTGTTGGGACAACAGCATGAACTTTCCAAGCGCCTCTTGGTACAAGGGTTCTTTGTCGACTACCTTTTGCGACTATATCGAAGCGGTGACAACAGGCAAAACGTTTCAGGACCCGTTGTTGTCGAAGTGTATCGAGGCTGTGCAATCCTTGAACAAGTTTTTGTCAGGCTTGTACGAACAGGACGTCTTCCTCGACCGCGACACTGCAACAACTTTGGGGCATTATGGGATGCGCTTTCTCCGGAGATATTCCTGGTGCGCCACAGAAGCTGTGCGCCAACGACGGTGCCTTTTTACACTAATTCCGAAACTGCATTGCCTACAACACATCGCCCTTCAGGATCTTGTGTTGGCGGCTCAGCGACATGATTACATCATAAATCCGCTCGTTTGGTCCGTACAGTTGGCCGAAGACTACATAGGAAGAAATTCGAGAACCAGCAGGAAGCTTCACCCGAATACGGTTACCCAAAGGGTAGTGGAGAGGCATTTACAAGCCGCGTACAAGCATTATGTACAGGCAGGCTACCTGGTGCCCGATGCAACGGCATCTAGCAGCTAGCAATGGATGACAGCACGCATCGAGATTTGTGTGTGGTGAGAACTTATAGCATGTTGAATATATGTATACATGTCTCTCTCGAGCTGTGTCTTCCTTGCTGCGTCTCCCTTAAGTGCCCGGCATGTCGGAAGATCGAGGTGCACCACGGCAAAGATCCAGCTTTGGGGCTTTCGGGATGTTGGTCTTATCTTCGGGCGGGGGCTTCGGCTTCTAAGTCTGTCAATCTTTCGGTTGGGATATCAAGAGGATTGCTTTGTATACCGGGATTGGGTTTGGGGAAAGGTTTGTTTACGAAAGGCTTCAAAGGTTTTGGGCAGGTCAGGGCCTTGAAAGGGTTTTGGGTCGGAGGTTTACTTCGGAATCTGACGGGTGTCGAGGGATGTTAGTCTTTATGATCGTATTCAAGGTTTCGTAAGGAAACAGCTGCTGATCCAGATATCGTAAAACCTGGTTTCCAAACCAAAACCCGGTTCCCTTTTTAATAACCTGGTTATTTTTCGTAACCGACTATTTATAAGGTTTATAGGGGTCTAGGTATATATATGTATATACACAGACGTGTGTGTGTGTGTGTGTATGCGTGTGCCGAAGCAAACATGAACAATGCACCTGCATGGCATCACACCGACGGACATCCGGAAGCACATCTAAATGTGTCATTCCACCTTTATACTACTGCACAAACACGGAAGCTCACCAGCCAGCAATCCAGTCAGAATGATATCGAAACCCTCGTGAGGCTCCGTGCATTTGTCCAGGAGCCCGCTCTTTCGCAGAGTGGTCAGGAAGTGTGAATCGGCGGATACGAGCTCTGCGGGAAGGTAGTAGGCCTGTGCATTTGAGTTGCGTGTAATTGTTGTAGCACTTCTTGCAGGGTCCGAAATTCCAATGTACGCGAAATGCTTATCGCAGAATTCCAAAAGCCTTCAAGCCTAGGCGCTGCTGTTCGGCGCCGCCAGTACAGTGAGCTCCCAGAGATGCGCAGCGACATTGGGCCGCAGTCTCAGTTGCGAAGCTCCCAAAGAGTCTGAACCGAAGAATCGTGAAGATCTCCTCCAGCCAAAACCACAACAACCCGTGTAAAGCTTGCTTTCGCCGGGGTTCTCGCACACAAGGCCCGGAGTTGTGCTATCTTGGTTGTCCTGAGCAAGGACTCTTCTGTCCAACGCGGTGCACAGGAGGATCAGGACAGCTTGCAAGCACTGGCTTCCGACTCTGATCCTAAAGCACACAAGATAGATAGTTAGCATTCAAGACGACAGCCAGTGTTGAGGAATTCCAAGCATGCAGGGCAGCCAAGTTTCGCATCCGTGTCATCGCACCAAAATTCCTGAGAGGTTTACAGTTGTGAAGAACTGATATAAATGATGCCATGCCACGAGGTCAACCCTATTCCGCTAGAATGGCAACCACTTCTACCACGGGTGCCACCTTATAGTTCCTCTTCTTGTCTGTACGTCCAGATCATCCAAAACACCTTCCCGAATCGTGATTGTTGGGCTTCCCTGACCACGTGTTTGCAACACTTACGGTATCCCCTCACAGGGACCAGCGTAACTAGATTCATTCCCGTGCCTGGACGCGTTGGCAAAATGCCAAACACATGCATTGAATCAGCCACGCAACTTAGGTCCCCGAGCCTTACGCTCGTCCAAGACTTCCACCCCGGTGCTTGGAAGAGGTGCTACTGTAACAGATTCTTGCAAACGGCTACGGGTTCCAACCAAAAGAAACAACAGAAAGACGATGTGATTAGGCCTATATGGCCTTCGCCTAAGGTTGACGCGTGATGGCGACGATGATGGTGACGGTGCATGAGACTCTTAAATACTGCTCATATGATTGCGATTGTTACAGCCGAGGATCTCCCAGGGTGACATGCGCAGGGCCCCTGCGCTGGCCGAAGACACAATGAGCTGACGGGGGTTTATCTCAAGGATTCAGGGCTCCGGGTCTAGAGTCTACAGGAGGGTTGCGGCTCGAGGTTTATCGCGGGCAGTCGGCCCGATGGGTTCGATGCTTGCTTTGACATAGGAGCGGAGGCCTTAGGCTGCCAAAGTCGCGGCTGGTTTGACTTTGACTCTTTCGATCTGATGGACATTGCCAGTGCTGCGACGTGGCCTCGGAAGCAGCTTCTCGCGCCCGGGCTCAGCGCGCAGCGCATCCAACATCTCCTGGACATGTTGGCTTTGTAACTTCAATGTTGAGTTCTCATTTCCTGTTCCTTTCCGCACAGCACTCCTGAACAGGCGAGCTGTCTGGTAAGACGATGCCTCAGACCAGGAAAGAAGCGCGGGAAAAAGTGCAGCTCCCGTCTGGCCGCATAGGCCTGCTTTGAGCAGAGGATCACACCATGTGCATGTCCTGCTGTAGTCTCGGTGCTTTCTCAAGCACTGTTGCGCGAGAATCTGTCTATGCCACAATCACTGCCAAGCAATCCATGCAAGGGTAAGCGGTTACCAGGTATGTCCATGTGCATATCTCCATCGGTCCTCTAGGTGAGCATCAGTTCCCGCAACCCCAAACATTCCTGACATGTTGAACTTGACACAGATTGAGATCCAGCTGGCGCAGCTCGTAGTGGGCCATTGCAATCGACGATGGTGCTCTTGCGAAGACGTCCTTACAGTTGGCGCGACCGAATCGGTTGTAGATGGTACAGCATCGCAACTGGGCCTGCCTACACTGAAATGACTGCCGAAATACTCCCCCAGATAGTCCAAAAATCGGAAAGCACGGCTCTGTTCCTGCAGTCACAGGCCCTGAGCCCTTGCAATGAATTGACCCTACCTCAGCGGGACTAAGTGATTAAGCTGGAAGATGCGGAGTCCTTCACAAGAACTCCGAACCTTGTTGCTTCTGTTGCAGCCCTCTGGACCAAACACGTCACGAGAGGAGAAATGAAGCGAGAGAGGGATTTTGATGTTAAGGTGCTGCGGCCAGTTTCTTGCAGTCTACAGTATCGGAGACTTATGGGAACTATTTTTGAGAGGTAAGTAGACTCAAGGACAGGTTCAACCTTCAAACACAACTGTTTACCGAAGAGGCAGGAGACATAAAACGATGCCTGCGCAATCGAGCAGCCGCGGTGTGGCTCAACAAAGGCCGGCTCAGGCGCGCAGGAACATCATGGCCCAAATTGCACAATTCTGTTACATGACATCGTGGCAGAGGCCGAGCCGCATGGCTGCACCACTCAAGACTATGACAAAGCCTACTCATTGCTGGATGGCGATGGATCCCTGGAGCCCGCTATTGTTCGAATCAAATCAAAGGGAGTACATCTAGGGCCTAGGGCCCAGGAGCAACAAATCAGAGCCTTGCCCTCATCAATGGTAGCACCCTCAAAACAGGTCACGCCTTGGACAGGAAGGGCTGCACCCGAAGTGGGTCCTCCGCACGTCCCGAGAATAAGGGCTTGAATTGTACATCTGCATAGGCATGTATACATAGTCTGATACAACTATTGCGGGATTTAATGGCTTGGGAAGCTCGCTCTTATTTAATCTAGAGTTGTGGTGATACTCCCACCGCTCAGGGCATGAATTGGGCAACATCTATCGGGCCATCCTTCGTCTGCGACAAGATTTCGAGCAGTTCATCCTTGGCACATGTGAGGCTCAGTGGCCTAGTCGCACGAGGCAGTCAAGCACTGCCGGCGCTGGGATGCGTGCATTGGACAGGAAGTAGAAGCGTGCAAAGGCACCCCGCTTGGTCTCCAGGTAGTCATCGAGGCCTCGCGTTAAGCCCGCCAAGATTTATTCGCGGAGCACGTTTACAGAGCAAGGTGCAAACAGCGGACCACAAGCTAAGAAACTTCGGATGTCAGGTCTCCGAGCTGTGAACCTTTCTGGACCATGTCGAGGTCAGCGTTTGCGTTGTTCCAGATTTCCAGAAGACCTTCCTGGGTGAAGCGAGAGACGCGAGTTGTTGTGGCTCTTTTTGTCCTATACTTACGCATGTCTTCCAGGGTTTCGAGGAAGTCAGGAGCTTTTTGGTTGTTCAGTCACTTGTCTTTACTCTGAAAGCCGCTGCTAATTTCAAGACGCAGCTATGCCCAACAAATCCCGAATCAATGCATTTACCGCACATCTCTCTCTCTCTCTCTACCAGGACAGAGGAGGCAGGCGGACNNTCTATCTATCTATCTATCTCTCTCTCCCTCTCTCTCTCTCTCTCTCTCTCTCTCTGTATCTATCTTTATGATGCTATATGCATCCACGGGTGTATCTTGAAACGTCCCTCAGCTCCGGGCCATGGAGCAGGCCTGAAGGGCCGCCGAGTTTTGATGCAGCCGCGCCATGGTCTGACGGGAAGTCTGCTTGGATTGCTTTCTTGGCCTTCCTGGTTCGTTCGCGGTCGCTACAGCTGCAGGCTTGGCTAAGGCCAAACGTCAAACCAAATTCGGGTTTCAAGAAGGCGGTTTCGGACTTAGTGATTCGGGTGTGGGGTGCTTTTGAGGATGGTGGGATTGGAAACTCGTCAGGTTCAGGCCAATCCCTTCATTGGGCAGGACATCCTTCTGATTGTAAGCTGAATGTGTGGGATTTCCAGAGGTATGATGCTGTAGTAGCGAATTACACCCTATAACAGGCGCTACACAGTCAGTACCAGTGTCGCCAACTATCGGGGTCTCTTTAGCAATCTCACACCAAGCATCTCAAGCTGAGCAGCATGGCCAAACACTGTACAAAGAGACTGGTGATCAGTCAGCAGGATTGGTGGGAGCCCTGAGCCCTAGGCAATTCGATCAGTGCGGCATTGAAGGAGGGAAGGTTCGAACAACGCTGGACAAATTTCTCAAATGCCCGACCTAGGCCAAGGATTGGAATGCTTGGTAATCACCAACAAGAGCTCCTCAAAGCAGAGGTGCTGAGTCAATGAGGTCTTCTAAACATGAAGCCCAAGGCCTATGACGTCAGAACTTCTTCCAACTACAAGCAGCCCAGAGTGAGGGCCGCTGGCCTGCCGCCACTTGCTGTCCACGAGGCGGAACTTCTTTCCTGGTTTGGGCTTCTAGGACTTGTTAAGGCTCATCGAGGGGAGGCTTGTGCCTATCGCATGGCTTTAGGCGGGAACGGGAGCCAAGGCGTGTCAGGGCTCTGCTTGGCCATGCTACTGAAAGGCTTTCGACGCCTGATGTTGAGACTCCACAGATACATGCCTGGATATCCTTCCAAGCACAAAATCTTGCACGCAAGATACTACTAACACTACGACTCGCGACAGAGCTCCCATGTAGAGTTGACTTGAAGATAAGGTCTCAGGACTCCAGGCCTTCCGTCGGCAGCTGCTTCATGATGTCAGGGGAGTCGAAGATGGGCTGCAGGTACATCCAGGCCTGAGATGTCTCGGAGCACCACTCTCTCAATGGCAAGCGCAGGTGCTTCAACGCAAGGCCTTGGCCCCTGGCACGTTGCACCTTGAGCCAGCCGTCGAGACACTCCGACATGTACAGGAGCTTCTCAGCCCAAGCCTTATCCGGAAAATGAAAGGAGTTCTGGTTTTGGCTCTGTGCTGTCTGGAGTCTTGACTGTCCCTTTCTGCTCTGTTGGGCGGGGGCCTCCTCGTTGATTGATCATATGATAATCTTCAAAACAAACACCGCTAAGAGGGATGACATCCTTACCGCCGCCTTCTCCGAAGGATCACTTATGAAAAGTACGGGCAACGCTTGGTGGCTTGCAGAATCTTTCACTGCATCTACAATCGCGTATCTCAAGATGTCCAATATAAATATTAAGAGCAGGGACCAATACCTCAACTCGATAGTACTGGCACGAGTATCGGATGTCCTTCAAAAGGCACCTCTGTCAAACCCAAGTCATCTTTTGTGTTGTCGTCTTGTTATCGGTGTGGAAACTCAACTTGCCTCGGGTTTATCGTCTTGACACTCAACTTGCGTCGGGTTTTCATGTAGCAAGTCTCCAAAGTTTGGAAAGGTGCAGCCTGCCAACCCTCAGTTTGCACAAGCAAGTGCAGGCTCGCAAGCCTCAGTTTGCACATGCTAGTACCAGTTGCAGTAGCAACAGCAGTGGGAGCAGTAGCAGCAGTGGCCGTAGACCGTAGCTGTAGTGGTAGCAGTGCACTAGGAGTAGTACTAGTACTAGCAGGGCTAGTCGCACTAGTATTACCAGCATTTTGCACCAATAGTCCTAGTAGCACCAGCAGTAGCATTCTTAGGATTAGTCATAGTACTCACGGAACATAAATTCATTGCTTATCGTTTTACAAGCTATTTCACACAAGGCATCCTAGACCAATTTACAAACCCCCCGTGTGACACAACCGCAAGTACTTGATGGCTCGTTGGGGTGGAGGGCAGGTGAAGGCCAGGGCATCAGGGAGCTGTTTGGCGAAGTGCAGCTCAGTCCGTGCTTGGCTTTGCAAGGCTTTGCTACAAGCCACTAAGCACGCAGCATCGATTTCGTCCTTGAACGGCTTGTTGAAAGGAGAAAACTGCATTGCCTGGCCAGACGTGTGCCCGCATGGCATCCGTACTTCACGAGCCTTAGCAATCCTATCAGTACTCTCGGTATTGTGTGAGCTGGATGCAACAGTACATCTAACATAAACTATCATACTCGTTAAGGATCCTGGTGCAGCTAGTTCAGCGTCTAGCCTTCATCTCACAACTACGATAATTACGACTCCTTGAAGTCTCTAAATTGGGGTTTGGGGTAGCCGAAGCCCGTTCCACAAGTAGAACGAATGCTGTCCGCTGCTTCTCGCACGGAACTGAACGTTTCTGCAAGCTGCCGGAGTATCAGGATCCGCCACAAGCTATTTCTCTTCGGCAGCCTCCCTGCTAGGTTGAAGACTGTGAACCGAAAACCGGGCATGCTCCATACTCAGTAATTATATTTCAGGCCAGTTCGTTTGGAAGCAGCTTTTCGGGTGTTTAGGTAGGGCTTCATGGCGACACGGCTTGGGTCTGGGTCGTGAGCTTCGGGCTATGGAGCAGCAGGAGGGCTGAGGTCTCCTGACAGTTGCCAAGCACCCGGCAAGACTGAAGCAGCGTGCATACGATCGTGATCTTCGATTACGATTTAGTTCTACACGTATTCAATTCACTTCGATATATAAATCCTACATCAAGCGAGTCACTGGACCTTTAACACATCACGGTCGGTTGCCTGTGTCACCACGATCTGCTCGTCGATCAAAGCAATTACCTCGTCAGCTCCTGCAGATGAGGAGACGCACAAGCATAGGCCCAGGGTTTCGCGTCACTCTGGTAGATCGAAAATACGTACGGAAGCCGCTGCAATCGGATTACAAAGCACATGATTGCAATGCAATGCAGATTGCAAGCACAAGGCCTTTCAAGATGTAGGTCTCCGTGGTGCGGTATGGCCTTGCAGCGCCGGGGTGGCGAGCGGTAGTAAAAGGCAAAAGGTGCGTGGTACTACATAACTACAAGCCGTCTTCTGCAGAAGTCAGGGAAGTACCAACAGAACCAACCAACAAACAAAGCATTCCGCAAAGGATACCCGCTGGCCGGGCGAGCCGAAGAACCCTGAGGGTCGCACTCACTGCAGTCAAATTTCATGCTGTCCCACCTTGCAGACATATTTTAACTCCCATGCGCGTCTGTTTTCCGAGCCTTTGTTTCAGTGCTGTACACCGGCGCTAATCGTATCAATAGTAGGGATTTGCTTTCTCAACAATCAATCTACTCTACACTCCATGCTTGCACAGGAGAGATCGGTTGCGAGGTCTGCAAAACCACGAGGCGCTGGCGCTCTCATCATATTTGTTAGTTGCGTCTCAATCGACAGCTCCTTGCCGCTGCGATCGCCAATGTCACTGATCCTGGGATCGACGTCATCCAAGATTCGTGGTAAGGGCGTCTGGTGCATCGTCTCCGGCTGTCAGCAGACACGCAGGACTACTACGTTACTACATGTGCTGCAAGCAAGTTGGGGCCGGACGTAGACACGTGGTCCAGCATGCCTGACATTTCGAAGTGTTCTCACTGCCCCTCAACCTGCACCTACAATACTGGACCTTCCCTGTGTTTACCGAGTTCAATAAGTGCAGCCCGGAAGCCCAAAGAAATGAAGGACTTCAGTGCGAACTCCTCCATGTTGGGATCTCGGCAGCCAGGCTCTTGCTGAGAATCGAAAGGATGAAGGCCAAATCACGGAGGTTTCTCGGCTTTCACTTTTCGCGTCTTGGGTGCATGCATGCTTCCATGAAGCTGGGATCTTGACTCACTTCGTTCCCGACCAGCTCGCTGACCTCATCTGGAAAGATTGAACCGAAACTCACAAGAGCCAAATCTCGAAGTTGCTGAAACCGCGCCGATCCTCTTGGTGTGCGAAACATGTGCAGACCGTCACAGCAGTCAACGGCTCCTTGAAGAAACGAGCCTGTGGATAACTTCCGAGCTCAGTTCCGACGCCTGCGTCCAATGCCGCTCCCGCATGCCCGGATTGCGTAGGCCTGTGACCTGACGTGCTGCTCGACGTTGAAGCTGAAAAGCGTAATTATCCTTACTCCGGTCCATCCATGCTCTGTGCCTGAGCAAAAGAAATAAGCAGAAATCAGCGTGTCTAGAGACTCTGGAGAGAGATTTAGACAGACAGACAGGCAGGCAGTCAGGCAGGCCTACAGACATTACTTTGCTCCCTACAGAGACCCTATACATGCACATCATATCTGGATGTATGTTGCGTGAATGCACGAGAATGTAGTTTTACATAAACTTGAGCACGCCCAGCGGGTGAAGAAAGCCACAAGCCTGCATGGACGCCATGTTGGTCTCAGGGTCAGACAATGGGCACGTAAGGCTGGAAGGCATCGATCTGGCCCTGTGCAAATGCATGCATGTCACGAAGTCGTTTGAACTGCTTGCGCAACACAGTCACACAGTTTAGCAGGATGATTATAAATTTTCAAGAGCCTGCAGACTTAGGGGAACTAAAGTGCTAGAGCAATGTCGCAGTGTCTCAGAATATGGGACCAAATGTTGAAGGAAAGACAAAGCTCGTTCATCAATCCGGCGCAAACTATTATCGATAGCACTGATGGCAATTGAAGACGACCGCACCTTGATGTCTCTTGCGATTTGCAAGACTTTGCCGGCGTCCTCCCTCTTTTCGAGCCCTTTCACCTCCGGCACCACGAGGCCGATGCGCAAAGTTCTATCACTCACGACATGTCACCTATCTGCGCACGTTTTTGGCCGCATGATCAGGTAACATATATGATTGAGTAAACAGCCATGAGCGTGTACAACCTGAAACGGAACAAGCATGTAAATTCGGTAAACACGATGTATTCATAAAAGCGCACACACACACACACGCACACATGTGCACATACTTTATGAGATGTTCAACGATCGATGGACGTACCGAAGTGCTTTTAGGTGTTCTCATGTGTTCTCTGCAGAGAGACACGATAAGATGCTGCCAACACAGAAGAGTATTGTCATGCACGGCTGCTACAACAGGCTGCTATACAAGATTCGTGCACTGCTGTTACGTCGTACCGAGCAGTATGAAACACAATAAGCTCTCGGTGAACACGGACCAGGCAAGTGAGGTCCCCGAGGCCGCAACTGTCTTGAACAGGGTCTTCGCTCCTGTCGTGACAGACTGCTCACCTGGCCGTCAGCAGCTTCACAACGACGCATGCATCCGTGAACTTAAGCGGGATTCGGGTCAGGAGGCTGCAGTATCAGTCGCGAGGTTCTGCGACCTCTACATGGTGTGGCAAGCAAGCGGTACCGGCACTTTGCAGTCTGGAAATACGGGCCCTGCATGACAATACTTGGCATCAATCTCGTGGAATGGGCCATTCCTTGTGGCAAGGCGCACAGCAAGCAGGCTGCAGCACCAATTGTTATCACTCGCAGCAAACTGAAACACCGAGTGGTCTGTGGGCACTGCATCCACTTTTCGGAATCTTCAAGCCAATGGTACGCTGTGACCTGAAATCCAAACAAGCGCAGGCACGTGCCAAACATCCCGGCAAGTTCGCAACTTCAGCCAAGCCGAGCGCCCAAAGCTGGGAGAAGGGCTCCCATTCCTGGAAGGAAGGTGCTTCGCAGGCTGAGGTAAGGCCTTAAAGAAGCTCCGAAGCAAGGCCCGGCGGCGGCCTTCTGAAGCTGCTGCAGGTGTGTGTAGTCGGAGGACTCTTGTCCGAACAGCGCCTGCGGGCAGCGAGGGCCCGATCGTTTCTCAAGCTCACAAACAGCGAAACAAAATCTCTGGAAAGAAACGATTCATGTCAACTTTCGTCCTGGTGTCATGCTGAGGATGGGAACGAGGAACGGGAAGGGAACCACAAGTGAGGATTAGCCAGTACGATGAGCTTTGATGACGATGACAGCAGCCGTCTTTGTGGTTGCGGTGGTGTTGATGGTGACCATGGTGGTCATGACGATCCGAAAATACGCCGTAATGAACCTGCCTAGCAAGTGTCTCAACTCCCAACAGGATGTGGACATGTGCAGCAGCAAACTCAGCAAACTTTGAACGTTCCGTTTGCGGTCTCGACAAGAAAGACGGGACCACGTAGCTTGGACATTCGATGTCAGTGTGATGGCTATGTCGGGTAGTGATGCAGTATGCGGCTGTTCGGAAGTACTGTACGGTCGCCGAAGGGCTTGCAATACAGACAGGACCCTAAACGGCCCGAAACTCAATGCTTGAATAATATGCTTGAATGTTGTCAGGTAGCACAGCAGATGCTGTGTAGACCACCTAGCATAACAAGCCTGTGCATACCCCGGGAGCGGAGATGATTCACACTGCAGAACACCCACGGCAGTGTGGTGGGAAGACCATGTGCACCCAAACATATGCGCGGTACTGCAGTTGGAGCACGATTGCCAACGTTGGAAACTTCCAAGACACCTTAGAACAGCGTGATTTCGAGACCCGGCTACCAGTTCGAAGCTCCGAGGAGCCGAATTGGGAGCACTGGGCTGTGGTGGGAGCACAGTTTCCACAAACAACCCGAAAAGCACTTCAAAATCCGCACGGCACTGCGGCTCATGGACCGCATCCTCTGCGCAAGTCGACACGAGTCTTGACCTCGATAATTTCGTCAGTTAGTCTATAGCAATTAGCTTCAGCTCAGGCATCGAGCAATCAGAAGGTTAAAGCAGAAAGCACAGCTCGGGCCTCACGGGAGTTGAACAGCTTCGCCTGGGACGAAGCCTCCCGTAGGCGATCGTTGACGCCTCGGCAACGGCATTTTCTGAGTAGGTATAGTCGGTATCTAGAGCATCTGTTCAGGGAGACGTTGGAAGCCTGCAGGATGAACTGTGCGGCTCTTGGCTTACATTTTACATGCTCCGCTCGAAGAAGTTATGGCAACAGGCTTCTGGGTTTACCGCGTGGCCTGAGGAATGGTAGAGGCTGCAGCATCTGAGGCGATGGCTGACTACATTCTCATAGATCTCCTGCGGGATGCGAACAAGGACCACTGGCTTTCGCTATTTCTCCTAGTTCAACATGCGATCACCTTAAAAAGTCAAACAACCGGTCCCTCCAACGCCATGGCTGGCAGATGGCATCCATTACTGAGCAAATCACGTCAACTAGAATATGCGGATATGCCTGTGTGCTTCTTTCAGGTGAAGAAGCACGGCATGACTGTTGTGTGAAAGGCTGCACGAAGCAGCTACTTTTAACGCACTCTGACAGAGACGCATTCATTAACCGTAGAAAATTTCCGTTCATCAACTGAGCGCCTGTCCACATGCTTAACAGGGACTTGTTTCAGGCAGGCCTTCTTGAATGCCCACAAACGTCGGTTGTCCTCTGAATGCCATCTCCCGTTCCATTGAAACACACGGATTGTCGGAATCTGGTGGACTGAAAGAATGCCACTCAGCAGTTGGTTCATGGTGTCGGCGATTCTGCGGCCGCGAAATCTACTGGATATGCTGTCTTGAACATAACGAATGTCTTTGGGATCCAGGTAGGACGGCCTCATCAAGTCCGACAAGAGCGATGTTGGAGTGCTGCAGGTACTGTCGACGCCAGGCTGCAACCATGCCATTGAAGACGACATTGTGGAAACTGAACTTGGCCAGGTTGTGCAAATTGTATCCAGTGTCGAATCATCTTCGAATGTGCCCGGCCTCTCCACTTCGATAATGAGCATGCTGTAAGTCACAGGGCTGCCCGTCTTTCCCAAAACACGTGCTTTGTCGCCACGGTGCTCGGAGACACATAGCTCGTCCGGTCTTTCTCCGTTGATGCAGAAATTGACCCCGAGCAGCGATAAAAGAAGAACTGGTCGGGTCTGAAAGGTGAGTCGCATGCTGGGCAGCGAATTTGCTCGTGGCAAAGTTCCTCGTTGGGTCGGTGCTTCCCCATGCCCATGTTGCTCAAGACCCGGCTCTGTTCGGCCACGCATCGCCTGGTCAAGCAGGCTCCCATGTCGGACACGCCTGGTTTTATGGTTCGCCAGGATGGCACTTCGTCACTCTCACTGTCACTCTCACTCAGGACGTCAGCCTCTCCCGAGCTACGCACATCTGGGCACTGGAACAAGACTGGCGAGTCGAAGGGACGCCGGGGGTACATGCCTGCCCCTCGGATTTCAATGGAAACCCGGTCAGCTCGACTGCAGCAGCTGCGGAATGGTAGTGCAAATGAAATCCATGCCCGGCAGCTGCTACAAAAATCAAAGCATAAGATCACGTAGTACCTCAGCTCTTGCTTGTTCGCAAGTGTCCGACACGACGGGTACACATGCACAGATGCACTGATGCGTACATATACATATACATTTACCGTATTATATATATATATATACACACATACACATACATTGGGGAATCAACCTGTAGAGTCATGTGGAAGAGGCAGGTGTCGACCTACGCCAGACTCACGCAACCTAGACGATGCGGCGTTTTCAGTGACGCCTTGATGTTGGCCAGGCTGGAGTACTGCGCGAAAGTGTCCACAATGCCGGCCTTTGCATCAGCATGTGCCAAGTGTGACATCCATCATGATTCCGACATGATTCGTTGACTTCCACGACACTACAGCTCGACCAGAGATGTCAGCTTCGGGTTCCTGACATCTGGGTGAGCCATACACTACAGTCCCGGTGTGTGAAACGAGTTGGCAGCGCATGCGGCCGGAGACAACCCTTCACACGTGCCAGACCGACTCTGCTACTCCCCACAAGCTGATAACTCTGTCCCGCTCAGTGCCCTGCCAGATCAACCAGGTTCTCATCGAAGTCAGACTGCTCCTTAACAGTCCGATGCGGGCCAGTTATCGTGGCTTCAGGGTCGGAAGCCGTGCGGCTGCAGCAGTTCGAGTCCAATCCGGCCTGCTGCATCTCCTTCAGGTAGCCCTTTTCGGCTTTGACCAGCTCGTGTTCCACCTGTTGGCCAGAAGGCCAATGCAGCTTGTACAGGACCACACTCGCAGCACAGTGCAGGGCTTACAGTATGCTCCAGTGGGAGGGCACCTGCCCCATGAGGTCGAAAGTCTGCTTTGGGCAACCGAAGACTCGCCAGCGCTGGTAGGCATCATCCTGGCAGTTCAACGTATTAACGTGTACAGTACGTGCATATCGGCTGAAGGTGGGGCAACTGTATGGAACCAGCTTCAACCATCAACTTACCCTTCCGCGACTCAGGTGAGTGCATTCGTGAGTTTCACGGCAAAGCCCTCCAAGACCTGGGTGCATTAATAGGTGACAGAAACAGATGCAATGCCTTCTAGCACGGCTGAACGAGTGAGACTCCAAAACCTGAGCCGATGACGGTGTAGATCTGTATGCACTTGTTGATGTCTGGAGCAGCCCTGAGCAGCCAGATGCTCCAGCAAGCATGATGGCTGAGATCGTCGTGCATCCAACGTGATTCATGTACCTAGCTACAAACGGCATCGGCCATGCAAAGACCAGGCAGCTAAGTGAAAGAAAGCCTGCTAGTTTGCAAGGTGTTCCAAAAACAGCTATCCGATAGCAGCTATCCAAAGCCACTGTGTGCAAGGTATCAGCCGTGCAAGGATCTACCAGCAGGCGGGCCAAGTGCTTCAAGGAGATCAAGGTCCGCGCTTGGAAACCTCTCCGGGAACTCCACCTGTGCTCAGCGAACTCCCTTTCTGCAAGGGGCCCTTCTGCTGGTGGAGCTGGGTAGAAGCAGTAAGCAGGAATGCGGAGTCTTGTAGGCTGCGAACTCATGAACTCGCGAAGCTCGGTGGATTGCTCGATGTTCTTCGGCGCCTGACATCGAAACAAAAACACTGGGTAAACAATGGTGAACACCTGGGAGGTGCATGCTGCCTAGATTGGAACTCCAGCTAGGCTGGACCGTGGCGTGGAGATGCCGAGGCCTTGCGCAGCTGGGCAAAGATGCCTTGGAACATGTCCTGGCACATTGCACTTGGGTATTGCTACGTTTCACGCGGTTTCGGGCCCGTGGCACAATGAGTCTCCAGACATGCCCGAGCGGCCGCGACTTCTTGAGCACTGTCCCGAAAACGGTTCAGCAGCATCTCTTCCTGCGACAGGCACGCCACGAGCACTTTTTCGAGCAAAGCTCAAGAACGTACTGAGAACTGAGTAGGGTTTCGAAGTCTTGAAGCTCCAAAAGTGCATGATTGATGGGGATGCGCAGATAGTAAGGATGCTTGCCCAAGGCTGCCACCAACAGCTCCACGATCTTTCGGTGACGACTCGCCTGAAAGACTGCTGCTGTGACACAAAACTGCCAAAGATCTCCTCTCCGAGAGGTTCCTTTAAGAGGTCCAACCAGTTCATGTCGCACAATATCTCGCAGTCCGATCCTCTGAGCTCTGGGCTAAGACCTTTCGGATCTCAGAGCAGTGGATCTCGAAGAGCCCCACCACCTACTCGGAAGGATGAGCACAGTTGACATGACCAGGCACCACCGGTAGAAGAGACCAACAAATACGCTGATACTTCTGAAAACTAAACAGGAACAGTGCACGTGCAATTAGATGTGCATTGAGGCATATGCAAGTACAACACACGCACAAACATACGCAATCCGGATCCACATGCAAACAACGCATGCATGCAAACTAATGTACAGTACCTCGTATATGGTCGTGAGTAGCTGAGTACTGTACTTGGGCTCATTAAACCTTGGCTTTCGGCTTCTTGCAGCTCAGCTGCCGTAGTGTCTGGGATGGCATCCAACACCTTCTGCCTCAGCCAACGTCCCAGTCACAGAAAGAGTCCAGAGAATGTGGGTTCCGGCGCTCATCATCGGGGCCCCACAAGCACTCAAACTGACTTGCATCGAAATATCACCCAAACTCAAAGTCTTTGCAGAGCCTCTTGTAGTCTGCCCACTGCCCATGCATATAATAAGAAACTATGGCAGGCAGGTTGGATGCACATTGGCGCACGATGCTCCAACTTCGCCCACCCTCTCTGGGCCCAGAGCTCTTCGTCCATGTGCTCCAGAATGAACTGCTTGGTCCTGGGGCAGAGCCACATATGCGAAAGCGCGGGTCGAAGAAGACGGGTGCCCCGGTCCCAGCGTGTAGCAATGTCACTGCATTTGCCGGCAAGATGATGCAGGATTCTTGCTTTCGTGCATGCCGGGGCTATAGAAGGAAGGGCCGGCACTGGGGGATGCTGAGATTCGACAAAGGGAGAGAGGTCCGCAAAGACGGCCGCTCTACGCACATCCATGACAACCGATCGAGGCCCGGTCTCGTCTGTAGAGATCTCTGCCGCAGACTTCTCCTTGACCTGGAAGTGTCTGCGCTCGGTCGTTCGAACATGCGAGCGAAAAGCTTGGCAAAGTACTGTATTTGTTCGAGAAGACTGCTCAAAATCACCGAAGCCTTTCTGTGGTTCAGACTTCCAAACATGCTAGCAGTTCCGTTGGCATCGTGACGGGGGGTCAACCCCCATCGGTCAAAGCCCCGTGGCTTAGTCCCGTGGCTTTTGCTTTCGCCGCCGGGCAGCCCCAGCAATCAGATGAATCAGGTGGAAGGACAAGTGTGAACTCATCAGAAAAGGGAAGTATGCCAACCGCCGCCAGTACCGCTAGAAGAAGCCATCGAGGGATGTCGTGACCCTGTCGATGACAGTGCTCCGAACCAACATCAAGACACTCGGAATGAGTCTTTTATTCGCTTCACTAGCTGGGATGGCTGCGTATTCAGCAGGGTCCAGTCCTTGGGCACATGGACATCAGAAGCTGGAGAAACCGGAAATGTGCCAATGGCCACGTGCAAATCGACCCCACATGCTGTCAAGACTGTTGAGGCCGGGGCGAAGCAAACTTTCATAAGGCTCAAACAGCTGAAGGAACCTGCAGAGGCTCTGAGAGAATGGCTTGTCGGCTGCGGGTTTCTGCCACAAGGTCAAGCACGGTTGATCTGCAAGTTACGGGTCGACTGTTGCAAAGCAGCGTGGCTCAGGTTGACGCAGACAGTCGAGGTCTTGGAATTTACCAGTTCATCACTAGCCCATGCGACAGTATAAGTATGAGAATGTGCCAGAGCTGCACCGGGGGACGGTCACTACTACGACGCCCAGAGCTGCCAGGCTGTGTATCCTACACGGCGACGCCGACGACAACAACGGTTCTACCTTGCTTGCACAGCTGTGGTTGGAAATTGGAAGGACACCAAAAGTGTAAGTGTGCTGACCTTCAATCCTCAACCCCTACCGCCTGGCTGCCTGTCCCCAGCCCTGGAATCCTGGGATTCCCAGCTCAGAGAGAGCCGGCAGGGTCCGCTCCAGCTTCCCCACGAGGACATCCCGTCTCTGGACGACCTTGGGATGGAGGATGCTGCAGTAGAGTTAAGGCTAAGGCGGCTAATTGATTCCGGCATCCATGGTAGTTTAGGATTGCGGGCATCTACGGTCGATTGGGATTAATTACGCTCCATGGGCTAGGGTTTTGGGCAGAGCTTCGGGAGTGATAATTTAGAACAATTTGGTGGGTGGGGATTCCAAAATTTTGGGGTTGGGTCTGCATGGTCGTGTGCACCAGCACCATGTAAAACTTCGCTGTTGAGTTGTTGTTTGCAGCGTGCAAAGGTCTGTCGAATCGGATGCATGCCTGAACCTGGAAGCCAAGCGCGGCCCCCAAAACACTTAAACGGTCTCTCCTTACGCGTACCATAGGGGCTCAGCCGCAGACCCAGGGTTCGGTGGCGTCCACGGTGCTGAGCACCTGCCATGGTCAGGAAATCTTTGCAGTGTGTTTCAGGTCCTTGTGCATTACGTTAGTGATCACCAGTGTGCATACGAAGTCGAGCACTGCGATGCAACTAAAAACTTCGACGACTGAATCCATGAAGCTTTATGGCCGCGCTGGGCAAGCCTGCTTGTGGACCACCGTGCGGAAGAGCTGTGGTACCACCTGACTGAAGCATGCCATTCGCCACGAGCTTTCAGAACGAAAGAAACAGCAAGTTTTGACCGCGGACCGATTGGGCAGCGTTCTTTCAGTGAGGATTAACAGGGTTTCGCTGCAAGTCTCAAGACGGAGCTTAGATCATCTACCCTTTTCAACAGAACTACACCCCCAAGCTCCATAAGGTCCGGACCAATGCATCCAATTGCGGAACATCTGCGAGGCTCTGAAGCCTTGCTAGGGCATTGAGACAGGCACGCACCCTTGCAGTCAAGGCGACAAGAATGCAAGTACCTGAGCAGGTAAGTGACTGGCTGTCGGTCTATCTATCTACCCATCTATCTATGAGCGTTGGGCACACAAATGCCAATTCTGGATAGGCACAGGTATGCATATACATAGAAAGAAATACCCATAGAAACTATAACGTAGACAATCTACACATAGGCATGTACACATACACAGTAAGCATCTATCTATCTATCTATCTATCTATCTATCTATCTATATGCATGTTCATGCATGCATGCAAGCATGTATGTGTGTATATGGCTGTGCATCATTATGTATGTAGGTATGCATGTCTGCAGGCGGGTTGGACGTAGACAGGCAGGCAGGCAGGCAGGCAGGCAGGCAGGCAGGCAGGAGGCAGGAAGCAGGTAGGCAGCTAGGTGTATGCAGTAGGTGTATTATGTGTATGTCTGTGTGTGGATGTGTGCATGTATGTAAATAAGTAAGTAGGTATGTATGCATGTATGTACGCCTGTATGTATGTAGAACATGTATATATGCATGTGTGTATAAATATGTACGATCCTCTAGGCAGGCTGGTTGGTAGGTAGGTAAGTAAGTAGTTAGGCAGGTAGTGAGGTAGGTAGGTAGGTAGGTAGTTAGGTAGGTAGGTCGGTCGGTCGGTCGGTGGGTAGGTAGCTGGGTGGGTTCAGATACTTACGTATGTGAGTGTGTGTGTGTGTGTGTGCATGCATGCATGCATGCATGCATGTATGTGCGTAGGTATGTATATGTCTGTGTACGTATAAAGGTAAGTAAGATCTCTCTATATGTATATATATATATATATATTCATGTATGTGTATACGTATGTACACCCGTCTGTCTGTCCGTCCGTCTGTGTCTGCATGGTTGCATGCATATCTAACCATGCAAATCATGCATAGCTCACTCACTCATTCATTCATCCATTCATTCATCTCATTTCATTCATTTCATCGCATCCATCCATTCATTCATTCGTCGTTTTTCATAATCATGCTTATACATGCACTCAGACTCGGACAGACAAACAGAGAGCAAGACAAACAAACAGACAGACGGACAGACCGACTGACTGAGGCACGCTACACACATGCCCTGCTGAGACGCCAGCCCTTGCTCCAGGACCTTCTTGCAGACGTCGATAACCTGACAAACACATCAGTGTAATCAAGCATTCTTTGCAACCCATTCAACCAGTGCGATCGACAGTAGATGCGGGTCCACAGGCAAGAAACAGCGTCGGGCACCGATACAGCCCAAAGCACATCCTGCCTGCATGCCATCTGATGAGTAGATAAAATTCTGCTTGTCGTCGCCTCGGCCATGCATCTGAAGGATAGCAGTTGGTTTGCCTTCGCCTTTTGCCAACTGCAACCGAACAGCTCTGCAGACACGCTGACTGCAAGCCAAGCCTACTTCACCATCCCCTTGCCAGGTTTCCCAGACTTATCGTGGAAGCAACAGTTCGAAGCACAACCCAACAGGCACATTTTCGGCGCGTCGTGGTTAGCCGCAAACTAGCAAAGTGTTTGAGTCCTCAACCTAGAGCCGGAGGTCTCTGCAAACACCCAGCAACCTTGGATTCGAGGATATCTTGGAGCTTCATTGAGCACTCGTCTAGCAGTTAAGATTGCCAGACCAGAAGCAGGACAGAGCAGGACTCCGGTCACCCTCCTTGCGGAGACCCGGTCTTACGCTGACAGGCACCACGCTCACGGCCCGGTGCGCGGGCGTAGCCGACGTGCATCTGCATCAGCGCCAGATCCAGGTCTGCGCCGGCGTCGATCAAAAGCTGCGCTAGCGCAGGGTGGCGGCTTTTCCAAGCCAGGTACCTGGGCTTTGTATATACTGCTTCTTACAAAACCCAGAACCCGCATGGGTCCAGCAAAACTTTGATGAAGCTCTGCTGCATGAGCTGTTTAATACGGAAGGTATCCACACCCTCGCACGACGAGCTCCTTGCAGCCCAAAGCTCAAAGGTGTGTAGCCAAAGCGGCCGGCCTTGTTGACCTCCGCTCTGGCTTTGATGAGCAGCCGTGCCTCCTTCAAGCAGATGGGGGTCTGACATGTGACGACGTGGAATGGCCGAGCCAAGCTCTATCGATGCATTGTGGCAAGTTTTCCCTGCACGTCTCCAGCCACTTGCTTATCCGACTTTCGGTGCACTTGTTATGGCTTCGGCTCGTTTCCCGAAGCCGGCGAAGCTTCGATTTACAGGTTGAGGTCGGTCTTGGGTGCTTGTGGGCACATCGCTACCTGGAAAATGCCCGGCCGCGCGAAACTTCGGTTCTTGCATGTGCAGAGAGAGAGAGAGAGCGAGACAGCGAGCGTGTGTGCACACATGTATGTATGTGTGTATGTATGTGTATGTGACTACATGTATTCACGACTCATACATGCACACGTACATACATACATAAATACATACATTCATGCCTGCATGCATGCATGCACGTGTATTGTGGACACAGACATACAAACCTGAGAACTTGGGAGTGCAGAGAGCTTGTCTAATGGACTGCACAAAACAATCTTTTTGAATGCCTCAAGATAATCATACGTAACGTGTAAGAATCCCCCAGAAACAGAATCAGACGACTTCAAAACCACAGGCCGCCAGACTCGCTCTCGCTCTCTTTCTCTCTCTGTCTCTCTCCCTATGTGTACTTATATATATATATATATATTTACATAGACACGGTATGCGTGTACAAACACACAGAAATGGTTTGTTGCTGAAGTCTCGCAAGCTGATGGAGCGGCCTGAATCTTTTCCAAACCGACAAGTTCAATGCGAATCCCATTGTCTGCCAAATGTAAACAGCCCCCATTAAGTATCACAACATTTACAGTACCGGCTAATTCTTTTCTCCTCGAGCAGCCCAGCCGAACAGGCGTGAATCAACGGCGTGTTTTCCGCCGTCAGACGGTCCTGCGCCATCGGCTCCGAGCGGAATTGCTTCTTACATGCTATAGTTAGATGCTGCCCGCGTGATGATTCTGGAACTTCTATAAAACAGACCACGCCGATTACCTGCAGCACTTGAGCATCTTTGTCGAGCAAATGGCACCTAATTCTGGAATACGCAGAGCTCTCTGCAAACTCGTGGTATCTCATGGTTCACCTGGTCCCTCAACCTAAACTTGACATTCTCACAAGGATCGTCCTGCATCCCGAACTCCAAGTGCTTCGAAACCTCGCTGACAGTCCCCTAAATCGTAAATAAAGAAGGAGGTTGCAGTCCTTGTCTGCGCCAGCATCCAGGAGCAGCCGGGCAGCTTCACGACGGCCGTGCTTACCTGGGCGACTTCATGCGCCTCTCTATAGTTGACTAGTTCTGTTTTCGCTTGCACGTGCAGATGTACGATTCTTCATCAACTCCTGTCTGCTCTTGAGAAGAGATGCAGGCCGCCAACAGCGGTGTAAAGCCAAACCTGCGGCGTCGGCCGAACAGTCACTGTCAATTTGTATCTGTTGTATAATATAAGCATCAACGCACCAAAGGTAGCTAGAAGGATAAATGGATAGATAGGTATAGATAGAGGGATCGATAAACAGACATGATTTGATTTGCTTTGATTAGGTTAGACCAAATAAGATCAGGTTGAAATAGACTAGGCTAGAGGAGGTTAGTTTAGGCTCGATTAGGTTACGTCGGAGCAGAGAGGAATCGATTAGATTTGAGTAGTTGGTTGATGGCTTGTGACTGATTGATGCAAATCTACACCTGTTCATGAATACACGCTGTATACATACATGCATATATCTATACACATAAAAGAGGGGAAGTACTACGGTTGATGATGTAAACCCTGCATTCATGTTACCCATGATAAGGAATCTACCACAATTCCCACAGTTTAGGGTCCTTAAGGTAGTGCAGGATATATATCATCAACCGTATGCTTGCGCTTATACAGAGAAAGGAGAGGGAGGGAGACCATGTGTATACATATATATATATATATTTGTCTGTCTCCGCGTGCGTGTGTGCGCCAGTGTCGTCTAAATCTGTTGCTGGCGCACGAGAGTGGGTCTTAGCCACGTGCAGGTTTTTCAGCAGGCGCCTCCCAGCGACGTCAATGGCCGCACGGGCCTCAATCAAGGCGCGCGCCACCTCCGTGTGCCCGGCTGCACAGGCCTCGTGCAGTGGGGTGTCGTTGTGGCAGTTCACGACGTCCTGCAGCGTTGCCGCCAACAATGAATTGCCTACATGAGCACTCATCTTAAACTGAAACATCAGTGCAATTACCATCTTCTCGGAAGTGAAGCCCTCACACTTGAAAAAGAGTCAGATCATGGTGGCGGCAGCCTTGTCGGCCCGGAACTCGAGCAGCAAAGTCGCCATGTCAGGATGCTTTGCTTGGCAGGCCAAGTGCAAAGGCGTGTTTCCGAAGAGGCCCCGTTTGTTGACCGCAGCGCGTGCCTGAAGCAACAGCCGTGCCACCTCCACGTCCCTGAGGACGCAAGCCTCGTGTAACGCCGTGTTCCCCTTGCACTCGCACTTCTCGGTGTCCCCCGCTGCCTCCAGTAACAGGCTCACCACTTCGAGGTGGCCCCCCTTGCAGGCAAGGTGTAGAGGAGTATGGCGCAGCTCATCTGTAACTGCATTCGGGTCTATGGGCCTGTGCAGGAGGGTTTCCACTGCAGAGGCATTTCCTGTCCGTGCAGCCAGCAGCAGCACCTTTCCACTCTTTTCTGAGGCAAAGCCCAGCTTCACGCAGGTCAGCTCGGCCTTAAGCAAAAAAAAATCTACACACATTTATATGGGTATAAATACGAATACAAGTAATACATAGATCAACGTATCTTTGAGATTCGACGTCACGCTATACTGAAGCCAAACCAGAATAATGCCCGAGTTTGTACCGCACGAGTACATGGGCCCCTTATGGGGAGCTTGTGCCAACGTAAGATGGCCAGTGAGTGCACAAAGGAAAACCTGACCACCTGTCGCTACGGTAGTACTGTAGTGCTCTTGAAACGAGTTAGCATCAGGAAAACGGCGAATTCGGTTGGCCATTCCTGTTGACTTCTTTATGCGTGTCGTTGCTGTGTTTGTTGCTTTTGCTGTAGCTGTTTCCGTCGTTGTTGTTGTTGGTGGTGGTGGTGTTGTTGTTGGGACTCCCTTCAATCCTGCCAAGGCCAGCATCCCGAAGCTGTTGACAATCCGAAAGGCAGGCAAATCCGCGGAGGCAAAGACCTCGTCGTTCCGGAAGATGCGGCCATCGCATGTCAGCTGGAGTCTGAATCGAGGATATCCCGTCAGGACGTGCAGATGTTGCCTGCAGGGACATTAAAGTGTTTGATAGAGGTCGGCCTGCATCCTGTCAGGATATATGCAGATTCTATGTAAGGATCACATCAAGTGCATTGCTTGGGAATCAAGCTTCATATTGGAAGCTCTACAGGCCGAAACCTCAATCCTAGGCCCCCAAACGCTGAACACCTCAAGATCGACAGTAACACCCGTGATCTCATCCCAAGATCCCGTCCCGTAGCCCTAAAATTTTAAAATCCTAACTTGGAAGCCCAAAACCCTACATGAACGAGAAACAAAGGGCCCTTGGTGCGGCCAAGGGCGCTTCACCGATTTCACGGTGTTGCCCAAGCGGTCTAAATCCTCCGGGCCCAGAGAGACCAGCTCCTGAACGGCTTAGGCGAATCTCATAGAACCACACGAGGAAACTATATTGCCAAATGGTGCATGCACATTTCTCGCTGTTTGCAAGATTCTGCGGGAAAGTGGCCCCGTCTCAGGACTCTTTAGCTTCTTCGAAATGCGGCTCTGCAGCCACACTCAGCTTAGAAGCTCCTGACTATCTCCCGCGATAGCCCAAACGGATTATCCTCATATTTAGTTTTTTTTTAGGCTGTGCCTCGCCAGTGAGGCCCAGCAAACGCAGCATTCAGCACCAAGGCGCTGGGACTTCGACGAATGGCTCATGGGAGTGGGTGGAGTGGTGGCAAACAGAATTTCGGGTCATTTCGGGGGCTGGGCGTGGGCCGTTAGTAGGGTTGTGACGGTTGTACAGGGTTTTTGGGGTAGGTTCAGAGACTGGGGTCGTCCCTGGGTTTAGAGCTTCGCCTGAGACTAAGATGTGGTGGCAGCCATGGTCAGGCGCTAATGTTGCCAGCTGTACAGCCAGGGTCTGAGCCTCTCAAGTCGCAAGCCGATAATTATACTCGCAGCAAGGCTAATGCTGCTGCTGGGGTGTTCTTGCCCACTCTCTCACTGTTGGTGGGCTTCCTCCCACTATTCTCACTGCAGCACTGCAAGAGACACTGCCTAATCACAACTAGCGCTGTGCGCTTGTAGACATGTGGTCGACACCTTTCCAAACATCTTGCAGCAGGAGCAGGGGGGGTCCGTTGAGGGTCAGACTGTGCTTCAGCTCCAGGATGAAAAGCCCCTGGCTCGGCCTCCGAGTGAAGCAGAGCTCTGCTTCACAAAGCACGCATACTGATGCCTATCTGTACGGAGAACCAAACCACTTGTTTGCAAACTGACAGCTGCCACTATGGAAAATGAAGTTTCTTCTAACCAGGAGAGAAGCTCCTTGAACTTGTCAGAGCAGCCCATGAAGACTTCAGGATTTATATCCCTGCAAACGGCGGGGCTTGGCGAGTGCACCTTTCAGCAGCTCCGTGGTTGAACATACATGCAAATCCATCCGAATACACACGGTGAAGCCTCCACTTCAAGTCAGCACCCGCACTGTCGGATAGCGGTTGCTCCGAACACTTCATCAAAGCGAATTGTTCAACTCAATCGTTATCACCTCGACGCTATGATTGTTCCACATCCCATTTCCAGAGCCAGGCTTGCAGTATGCAGCCTGTAAATATCTGTAAATGGCAATCCTTCATGCAGCGAACCAACCCTGTTCAGATCATCCTAGTGACAACTCAAGAAGCCTCTGCTAAACTGCCTTGCGGCCTTGCAAGTCTGACAGGGACCCAAGAACTGCTGCCCAGTTGCCTCCCAGCCTTTTACTGCTTGTCAGTAGAAGCATTCACAACAAGACTAGCCATGTTGGACCTCGCAATTGTACTACAACACCTGACGAGGCAAGGGCTCACGGCTGATGCCCTCACTTTGGTCGATAGTGGACTCTGCTCCTGTCAGGATTTCGATTGGGTGTATTGTTTCAGTGACAAGAACTCATCAATATGTAATCATATATACTGCCCCACAGCGGAAGAGCCATAGCTCGTTGCAACTTGTAGAGTGAGGCCATGCTTAGCAGGCCGCACAATTATTTGTAATCAAGGTTAGCTAGATCTTACGGTCTTGCAGTCTTACTACAATGACCAACAATCTCCCCTCGGCCAGAGCTAGATGTGTTGCGGCTCTGTTTCTGCTTTCATGACTGCGAAGATAACGCTGTCCCTTCTGGTCGTAGCTTCTGGTCGGGCCTTCTGAACTCTGTGTGTTGGCATCCGAGGCCCTTGGAGGGACCAAATAAGGTAGACAGACAGACAGACAGACACACAAACACACATGCACACATGCACAAACACAGACACACACACACACACAGACAGTCACACACAGAGACAGTCACACACACACACACAAAACATAAACAGCAAACACCAACGGTTGGAGAGCGAGTTCACGCCGGGGGAACGAGTCCAGCGTCGCTCTTGGGCTTACCTAAGCCCTAACCCCTTATAAAACTTCTTGCGTGGCCTGGAGGGGCCGCAGTGCTTCCAGCCGCTGGCGGGACTGGGGCTGAAACGCTGGCGCTGGCACCTTGCACTGATGTGTCCGGGTGTAGGCTTCTGGATGAAAGGCGCGGCTGTCTCCGCGGAGGTGTTTTTTTTGTGGGATCCAGAACGAGTTGGAGAGGGGTGACATCCTTGAAGGTGAAGTGCAACCTGGAGCAAGACTTCCCTTAAGCGCGTTGCCGACCAAGAAGTTCAAATGCAGCGGCGGCATGCAAACCGCAGATTCCGGAACAGGGGACCTAGATACCTCCTTCCAGCATAGTGCTAGTGGGCAAAACGATCCCAAGCACGCGACACACTATGCCGTGCGAAGCACCTGTGTGCGCTCGCAGGTGCTTCTGTGCCTCCATGTAGGAGCAGGCCGCCTTTGGAAAGGCTGCCGTCATCGGCTGAGCTAAATTTGCATGCGCTTACGGGTATGGTTGGTTTAGGGAAGACCGAGTCTCCATCAGCTTCTCAAGTGAAGCGGGCCCAATGGAAAGCTCGACACGCACTGTAGCCGAGACGCATGTCCTAAGAATTTCCTACATCCCTTGTGCCTCACCTGCTCCGAAGCCTCGGACCTTTCGCCGGCCTTGTGGAAAAGGCGGGGGGCTGCTTTGTCGGCCTCTGGATCAGGTGGGTCGAAGGTGGACTCCACGTGCAGCAGATCTTGCCTCAGTGCATAATGTGGGGTATTGTCGGGTGAGAGTGGGGGAGGTCTGCATTATGCTTTCAGTCGTGCTCTAGTGACGGATCTTGCTCTCAAGACTTGTTTCGGCTTTCTGCTTGCTTCACCAATCGTGAGAAAGGTATCTCGCGCAGGCACCTTCAACAGGTTTGTGAACTCGCGGCTGTGCTTGGGATTTGTGCATCATTGTGCGAAATCCGTAAACAGGACAACCAGGCTGATAACCAATTGCAGGCTTCGATATGATTCGAGCAGATTGCAAGGTCCCGGATGATGCCTGCCCATGGAGGTCGGGGACTTCATCGTATCAAGCGCTTGTTGATTTGAGGAATCCGTTCGGGATTCGGACATTCCACATGTGATTCGGAGTTCTCTCTATATAGACTTGGAAGTGCTTGCCTTTGCGGCCCAGTTGCACATCTACGCTGGCCGGGCAGTACCTTCCAGGAATGCATGGGGTGCAGACACCGTCAGACCCCCTCTCCACAAAGACTACAAGAATATAACCCGTCCGCTCCCGCAGCAAGGCAGCAATCAGGTGCCTTTCCAGGCCCTCACAGTAGTGACCGACGGAGTCTAGGGCAAAGTATCGCAGCGTGTCCTCAGAGGCATGGGCTTGTCAGCCGGCTGAAATGTCTGTAGACTGGTTTGGCAATCCTTACGGCCACGAGCACACTGCAAGAACATGTCCTGAACTTCTGAAAGCATGGTCGCCCCAGTGCGTTCGGGCGTGCAGAGTTAGTTAACTCCTCAGACCAACGGACCCCAATCCTGGAACTGCGAACTTCTCGTTCTGCAAGGAAGTTCTGAAATTGCTTGGCATCGGCATGAGCTGTACTTGCAATCCCATGCCCGCAGCCTGCATCACGAAGCGGATGACAGACAGTAGCTTCCGCATCTTGCCCTGCCACGTCAATTTTACGCCCTAAGACGGGAGGCATGCCTTTTGAGACTCCCCTCCCTTCCAATACCATGCCGTCCGACAACGCTGGGTGAACAGAACCCTTCAGTTTGTGTGCCTGGCGGTAGGTGTCAGGGTTTGTCTCGTGGATGGAGAACCATCCCTTCCCAACCTTAGAAAGCAAATTGACATACGGCTGCTGCTGCTGCTGCTGCCACTGCAACGACGTCGATCAGGACGACGACTACGCTATACGCTACTGCTGCAGCAGCTGCCACTGCTGCTACTGCTGCCACCACCAGTGTTGCAGTACCAGTTAGCTCCATCAGCATCGTCTGTCCCAGTGACATTTGTGAAATGCTGCAGCATGATCTTCTGCAGCTTGTTCACCTGGCTGTGGACAGTCTGCTCTGGGTTCTGACAGTTCGGGGTCGGCGCCGAGGGAGGAATGCAACAGGGCGAAGATTCTCATACGAAAGTGCGTTGAACCAGGACACCAGACCCAAGGTCAGCAGGCTCGTGTGCATCCGTGGTCCGTTTTTCATGGTCGGAAGCCAAGCTGGGCCCGGCCATGCTTCTTCAAGCTCCCTCCTGAAATGCCAGCTTGAACACGCTAGACTTTGTCCAGTGTCCAACATGCCCGCTTGGCCCACTTCTCCTTCACGCGCTCCGACCTAGGCTCGGGCACATTCATGTTCTGATGCACGCGTCAGACTGAAAAATGAAAGATGCAGTGGCATGCACCTACCTACACTGAAATGCAAACTTCACCGAAGCCGTGAACACATTTACGTAGAATCAGCAGCCGACCGGCTCAGCATTGACCCCAGAAGGAGTGGCTGTCATGAGCTATTGGCTATTGGACACCGTGTCGATAGGAGTACTCGCACGTCGTGGCCCCGGCGTGGACGTGATCACGGTCTTCTGCAGCTGTGTGAAATAGTCAAGGCGGAGTGCCTGCCGCTCAACACAGGACATGAAACGTCTGGTGGATTTGCTTTGACTGTTTCGCTTCGCTCTGGCGGTCTCATTGATCTGATGGATTCTCAATCGCCCTAGTGTTCAGTGGAAGCTGACTGGAACACAGGCCTCCGTGTACTTCAGATTGTAGATGGTCTGGGACAGCCTGCGCACCATTCTGTAGGAGTTCGCATCACAGATCGAATGCTACTCCGAGTTCAGACTTCTTCAGCAGCTACACGCTGCTGCATGCTTCTTACAGTCAGGTTCAGCGAGACTATGTATCCATACATACACGCAGACATTTATATAGCAGTCGCAGATATCGGAATATGCATCTGTTGTGAGTGCACGCATGCATGCTGTGTAGCCATATGAACGTCTGCATCTCGAGCCAAGCTCTCTACCTAGGGCGGGATGGCTTACGGCATAGGGGAGGGGGGCGATGATTGAAGCCACGTAGCTGGGGAAAGCATGTGCTTGGAGTCACATCAACTGTACTACAAGGCTCACCCTTTTCCCAAATACAGGATCTTCAGCCAGGCAGCAGCCACAAGCTCTCCTCCGCCAGAGCCACCTGTTGAGGCTTGAGTTCCGTCTGGTGTCCAGAGATCCTGGTCCTCATGCCCGATTTCAGTTGGCCTGAAAACTAGGGTTCCAGCCAAATACGAATGCCACCATGTTTACTACGATTTCATACGATTTCAATTTGTCCTGACCTTCGAAATTTGCATAGCCAGTGCCGCTCAAGAAATCCAAGGTGATGCACGCGCTGCGGAGTCAAATTCAGGGCCCGCAGTCGGTCGCTTAAGACATGGGACCAATGGTTCGAACTTGTTCTGGTCTTTAGTAGGACATGAAGGCTCCTAGACTTCGGAATGCTGTGCGGTCTGGGGTCAGCATCCTACTGCTTTGCGGGGATCATCATGGAGCGTTCATCGAGCTGGATATCCACTACGAGACATATATCAGTTCTAGTGCGTTCTAGCAGTGGCATCATCCGGAAGATAGACATTCGAGACAGCAGCAGTGACACATCAACCAAAACCTGAGTTTGGAGCGTGGGTGCTCACCACCTCCGGCTTGATTAGCAGAGAGGCGAAGCCTCAGCGAGAGCAGCTACATACAGGTCGACCGCTCAAGCTTTGGGGTTCAAGGATTTAGAGTTTCGAGGGTGTGGAGAACGTGAAGACACAAATCAGAATCCACACGTGCGGCTGCATTGCCAGATGGCTCGCTCCCGATTGCTGCTGAACAGAATGAGTGTCCTGCGCAGCCTCCTCTGTTCTGAAACTCAAGGGATCGGACAGAAGGCGGAGAAGAGGTCCGTGAAGCTATATTCCGGCACCGGCCACAGGGAGTACATGGGGACGGGCCTGTCTCGAATGACATGCTTGGATGTTGAAACCGAAAGGACCTTGCTACCGCCGATAAGTGGCAAGACTAGCAACGACCCAAAGCCAGTGCCGTGCCTGTCGAAGGGACTTTCATCATCCTCCAGCTCCTCGGCGCTCACGAATCCGAAGAGTGCAGGACCTTGGAAGAACGCCGTCGGAGAACCGAACGGGCTAGACGCGACAGGAGCTTGGAACTGGCATCCGAAAGCGGTGCAACCGTTTTGCGAGTACTGCTGAAGATGCTAGTGGTGGTGGTTTGGAGTACCAGTAGCCGGAAGTGAAAGTCGCAGTGGTAACAGTACCAGTAGTCGTCGTCCTCGGTACTAGCAGTAGTAGTAGTAGTAGTAGCAGCAGCAGCAGCAGTAGTAATAGTAACAGTAGTAGTAGTAATAGTAGTGGTAGTAGTAGTAGCAGCAGCAGTAGTACTAGTACCAATAGTAGTAGTAGTAGTAGTAGTAGTAGTAGTAGTAGCAGTAGTAGTAGTAGTAGTAGTAGTAGTAGTAGTAATAGTAGTAGTAATAGTAGTAGTCGTAGTAGCAGCAGTAGTAATAGTAATAGTAATAGTAGTAGTAGTAGTAGTAGTAGTAGTAGCAGTAGTAGTGTAGTGGTAGTGGTAGTGGTAGTGGTAGTGGTAGTAGTAGCAGTAGCAGTAGTAGTAGTAGTAGTAGTAG